CCCTTGACTACACTACACTACACTACATGATGCTAGTTTCCAGGAAGTCATTGTGCTAATTACCTTGAACTGATTTCAAAGAAGGTAATCAGGTGCAACTAGAAACATATTTTTTTCCTTAGATACAGCAAAGAAAGGATCTAAGAATATGAATCCCAACTTTCATGCACAATAGGAACATGATATGCTCCACGTTATCATCTTCTAAGACTCCATTCAAAGTTTTTGTGCTGCGGGGGCATCTTTATGCCACGCAGCCAAGCGTTTTCTAAAATCTATGTACTTTGAGTTTATATTTTGAGTAATAATCTGGATTATTAAACTTGACAGTTTTAAGATTCTCATTTTTCACTACTTAGAGAGCTATTTTATTTCCACTGAGCAAGCAGCAAGGAATGATATATGAAGTCAATTTGTTTCCAGGTATTTGTGTGCTAAGAAAATAATGTTTTGGTTAGGCAGCAAACTTTCCAGATGAATACATGGAGAAGTATGACAACAAGGGAATTTCCTTCCTATTAATATTGATTTTGCAGGAACACTTCTATTAATGTTTGCAAAATCCGGAGACAACAATAAGCTGTCTTTAAAATAAGCGATACCAGCACCCGAAGCGGTATTTCAAGGCTTTGTTGTCTAAAATTTTTGGAGTTAGTTAGCAAGCTGTGTTCACGAAGGCTTGGAACTAAACGCTCAGTTGATTGGAGAGCTGGAAAACTGATCTGAGAAAGTCTAGGTACTTAACTGTAAAATAAGCTGAAAAGCTCTGAACCAAGGTGAATTTTAGACTGCAGTGATTTAATATATGAATTCCAAATGCCTGCATAAATCATTATAAGCTGAAGATTTACTTTCCCCACCCTATTGTCTCTATGAGGAAAAAAAAATGAAATGCCTCATTCCAGGACTCGCCATTCACTACCTATAAAATAAAATCATTTCTGAAACTAAACCAGAATATCAGAAAATGGAGAGCAGAATATTTATGATTACTCTTTCCCTTGTTCTTAACTTCCTTTTCCTACCAAATCCTCAAAGGTCTGAAATGCCACGTTCCATTTTGCAAAACCCTAGATGATGCTTTGTTTCTGTATCTCTAACCAAAAAACAAATTTTAGGGTGCAAATAGTGGATAAAAATTGTCGTTCAGATTATTACTGCTATTATTAGTAGTATTTTGCTTTTCTGAATCAGTCATGGAAGGTGGCTGGGCCATGATTGATCTCAGAAAAATATGCAAGATGGGATTTGGTTAGTGAGCGGTTAGGAAAAATCTTGGACTGTAAGAAAGATTGGGAAGTATTTTTAAAAAACTTTTAAAAACAGGGACACAGTGGCTCAGTGGCTAAGACCTGAGCTTGTCCTTCGGGATTGGGCCGCCTATAAATTTATTAAACAGTTAAACAGTTAAACAGAAAGGTTGGTGGTTCGAATCCCTAGCGCTGCGTAACGGAGTGAGCTCCTGTTACTTGTCCCAGCTTCTGCCAACCTAGCAGTTTGAAAGCACGTAAAAAATGCAAATAGAAAAATAGGTACCACCTTTGGTGGGAAGGTAACAGCGTTCCGTGCACCTTTGGTGTTTAGTCATGTTGGCCACATGACAACAGAGACATCTTCAGACAACTCTGGCTCTTTGGCTTTGAAACGAGAATGAGCACACCCCCTAGAGTATGGAACAACTAGCACGTGTGCAGGGGGAACCTTTTAAAAAAAAACAATATCCTCAAAGAAGGGAATTGCGAATCATATTGATGATGAATCATATTCATCACACATTGTGTGATGTGTTTCTATAGTCGTCAGAAATCACACCTGACTTTCACATTTTTTTCCTTCCTGAAGGAGCATGACATTCTTTATCAAACAATAATCCCAAATAATCAACAACAGAACCTTCTGCAGTAAAACATTAACAAAAATGAATCCAGCACCCTCGTTTTCACTCACTTCCCTGCATTCAATAACCTCTTCCTTATTTGGTGACTAGACAGTTTTTAAGAAGTGTTTGCACTTTTTTTCTAAATAAACTTTATGAAAAGAAAAAAAAACAAAACAAAAAGATTTGCCACAGCTATCTGCGATTTAGCATTACATCCTGCAATATTTAAATGAAATATTCAATTTGCTTAATATCTACAGTTTTTCTAGATCAATCTGTTTCCAAACAAGGACGAGAGATTCCCAAAAGCACCAATCCAAAATGCGGTATTAGGAAGGGATCTCTGGCTTGCGTGGCTGTTCGGGCAGACTCCACCTCTTGCTAAATATTAATTTTTGAGTTCTATTGAGATTTTACTGGATTCACATTTTACTGATTCACATGGGACTTGTTTACTGGTTCACATAGTGTGACTCATAAATAGAAAACCTGATTTATGATAAAGATTTATATAGCCACCCATCTTAAGCAACCTTAAGCAACAACACAGTCACTTTATCGGTAAGGTGGGCAGGGTTTAAATTTAACAAACATATATTAATAGTTTCTTATGCACATTACAAATATAGGTAATTTTCCAGCAGATGTAATATGTTCATCCTCAGTTATTTTGGATTTCAGTGCCCTTTAGGCCAATATTGCCCCCCAAAAATATTAATGGAACTATGCTATCTATCTTTCCAAGGCATATAAATATATTTGAGATATAGTGATCCCCTCCAAGTCACCAGGATTCGTTTGTACAGTACACTATAATAGGCTTAAATGAAAGTGAGATTGGGCAATTTGTACTTCAACAAGTTGTGTGACTGTCCTCAATTCAAACTTGGCAGAAGTCCAACTAGATAAAGATCTTTACTACATATTAGAAAAAGGTCACTTGAAGCAATTGATCGCCTGTATCAACATGAGAAAATAGTCTCCTCTTAAATCCACGGCAGTTTCAACCTGGCACTTCTTTCTCTATTTTCCCATAGCTTAATAGATACCTGGGTGTTGACATCATCAACATTTATGCACTGGGAATAGTAATAAATTTCCATTGGGTTGGAAATAGTAATAAATTTGGGTAAGGTGATGAGAAGTTGGCAATGGAAAAGAGAATAGGAACGGGAGAATAAGTCGGGTTACCCCTTTGCACCAACCCCTCTTTTTCAGATATGAATAAACGTTATCCCACTTGTCCAATCAAGAAACATTTGATAAATATCTAAGGTTAAACAACCTTACATATACGAATCCAAGTATAAAAAATATTCACTTTTAGTGTTTACTAGAGGAAAAAATGAGGATGATCCTGTACAAAGAATGGAAATATTTCCTGATTAACTGCGTTTATTTTTAAACATTAGGAAATGCACAAGTCATCAATGATTCATTAATGTCCTTTAGGCTCATATTCAACAGCAAATCTAGTACTTATCTGGTAAGATGCTGACGTTGAGATTTTTCATTCCATACATTTCTGTCCTACACATAACTGAGCACAGTGTTTCAAGAATGAAAAATGTCTGTTGTCTTGTACAGGATCTACTCTATAAATGTCATTTCCCTTAATTTTTAGGAAAACACATTAGGATTTAGGATTTGTCCTGATGAACATCTAACTTCAAACCAGTCACCAGAACAATGTTATAGAATAGAAATTTTTTCACATTATAGATCTACCATGGAAATAATTCATCTTTGATGCATTTAAAGATTATCACCATCTGATCCCTAAATCCTCCCACACCCAATCAGTGTTTCTGATAGATTAAAAGGTCTGAGACTTGTTTTCTAGATATTGCTGACCTACAGCTCCCACCATTATTTGCAATTGTCCTGCTGGATGTGGCTCTTGGAGTTGCAATTT